GGAAGCCTGGGTGGGCTGCTAGCTGGCTGGGTGCTGCCACAGCTTGGAGGTGCCTGATCCAGCACTTCCCTGAGCCTGCCCAGGCTTCCAACACCCTGTGAACCATTCCCGCCACCTTCTCCAGCTGTCAGCAAACACCGCCACCCTCCTGCCACCTCCCCACGCTGCACCAGGGGCAAGCCAGACTGTTTCCAGGCAGCCCCAGGCATCCTGCTGGGCACAGGAGCCTGCTGAAGGCAAAAGCAGCAAGAAGCCCAATCTTTTTTCTTTCTAGTGGAGCCTGCCTGCCTCTCCCATGGCCAGGAAGTGAGCTGACAGATCACTGGCTCAGATTAAGGTGGGAGAGATGCTGTGGGAGAGGCAGGCAGGCTTCACCAAGGTGGTGGGGGGGGAGGGAAGGATCAGGCCCCTTGCCACTTCTGCCTTCAGCAAACACCTGCAGCTGCCAGGACAATCATTTATATACAATGATGGAAATTGAAACAGAGAGGTTTCAATTAAAAACTCAACTTAGGGGGCACAGAATGTAACCCAATGGACCAAACCCCTGTCATATGTACAAGCACCCTAAGGCTTTTTGTCTTTTCTGCTGGCCAAGCTTACCTGCTAAGTGTAGTCAAAGATGAACCATTATTATAGAACAGAGAGTAGAAGACAATGTTATATAGTTTATAAATGTGAGCAATTGAAACCTCCACTCACTTAAGCAGCCTCATGCTAGCAGTTGCTCCCAGGTAGACAGGGGTTTGGCTGTGCTGCTGCTCTGGAATTGCCTCCATTGCTTGTTTCAGGCATGCCTTTAGGCTGTTTCCAGCTTCTTCAGGGTATGTTGAGTAGTTAGAGATTCCAGGGCCTATGGTAAATGCAGGAAAGAAATTCAAGAAATATTACTACAGAATGAATTGATGGAGGGGTTCAGGAGCCTTTAGACACAGAGGCCACATCCACACATGCAGGTATGTGCGATTTATAGATTCAAAGATACATAGATGTTATGGTTGGAAGGGACCTGAATAGATCATCGAGTCCGACTCCCTGCATAGGCAGGAAAGAGTGCTGGGTTCAGATGACCCCAGCCAGATGCCTATCTAATCTCTTCTTGAAGACCCCCAGGGTAGGGGAGAGCACCACCTCCCTTGGGAGCTCATTCCAGATTTTGACCGCCCTAACTGTGAAGAAGTTCTTCCTAATTTCCAGTCTTAATCTGCTCTCTGCTAGCTTATGGCCATTATTTCTTGTGACCCCCCAGGGGTGCCTTGGTGAGCAGAGCCTCACCAATTCCCTTCTGTGCCCCCATGATGAATTTATAGGCAACCACAAGGTCGCCTCTCAACCTTCTCTTGCGGAGGCTGAAGAGGTCCAGGTTCCCTAGTATCTCCTCGTAGGGCTTGGCCTGCAAGCCCTTAACCATACGAGAGGCCCTTCTCTGGACCCTCTCCAGGTTATCCACATCCCTCTTGAAGTGTGGCGCCCAAAACTGGATGCAGTACTCCAACTGGGGTCTGACCAGCGCCCGATAGATAGTATTGCCTCCTTGGTTCTGTTTGTCATGCATCTGCTGATGCATGACAAAGTGCAGTTAACTTTGCTGATGACTTCGTCACAGTGACGACTCATGATCATCTTGGAGTCCACTAGGACTCTGAGATCCCGTTCCGCTTCCATGCTACCAAGCAGGTCATTTCCTAGGCAGTAGGTGTGCTGGACATTTTTCCTACCCAGGTGCAGCACTTTGCATTTATCCCTGTTAAATTACGTTCTATTTTTTTCTGCCCATTTGTCCAACCTGTCCAGGTCTGCCCGTAGTTGTTCCCTGCCCTCCGGGGTGTCAACTTCTCCCCACAGTTTTGTATCTTCCACAAACTTGGACAGAGTACACTTCACTCCCTCGTCCAAGTCACTGATGAAGACATTGAAGAGTATTGGTCCAAGGATTTGTGGCACCACAAACCTCATGCATTGCACATTAAATTAATAATTTGCTACAGAGATTTCCCAGTAGCAAAAAAACCCAAAACAATGCAAAGCACACCAAAATAGCATGTGCCAGGACAAACACAGAGCCCCTGCGCTAAGGTATGTGGAGACAGGGGAGCAGCAAGCCCAGGGTTGCCTTTCCCTCATCTTAGAACCATAAAAAATTAGGGGTGGAAGGGACCTCAGGAGGTCACATCTAGTCCAACCCCCTGCTCAAAGCAGGACCATCCCCAGCTAAATCACCCCAGCCAGCACTTTGTCAAGTCAGGCCTTAAAAACCTTCCAGGATGGAGATTCCACCACCTCTCTGGGTAACCTGTTCCAGTGCTTCACCACCATCCTAGTGAGAGAGTTTTTCCTGATATCCAACCTAATGTCCCTTGCTGCAATGTTCACAGCTGGCTGGGGTGCAGTGTCCCTCAGTGCAGAGGCTCCACAGTGCACAGAGATGGGAGTTGTGCCCTGGGCTGCCTGCTCCCCTGTCTCCACTTGCTGCTGTCTGGCTGGGGCACAGGGTACCTCAGCACAGCAGCTGCCTGCTGGCTAGCCCCACACAGCACATGGAGCCCAGTCAAAGCAGCACGCCAGGAGCTGGGAGGAGCTGGGCATGGGCAGTTTGGGACAGTAATGTGTCCCACAACAAAGTGCATATGTAGAGACTTGTGCTTCAGCACAAAGTAGCGGCACAAATTTGTGCTGCTGCAAGCACACACCCTTGTACATCTGGACACGGCCAGAGACATTTCACCTTTAAGACACTTCTAAAGATATAACCAAAGCTGTACAGCAAATATTACACCAGGTTGAACCATTATCCTGCCTGCAGAAATGCTCAACCATGATGCTTCAGCACAGGGAGATAAAAATGAATGTGGGTAAATGTGACACAGCAAATTTAGGCCAAGAACTGCAAAGCTACTTCTACCAAGCTACACTATATCAGCCCTAAAAGCTCTGGCTCAGAGATCTGAGGTTATCACGACCCACAAGGACATGACTGAGTGTCTCTGCCCTCAAGAAAGAGACAAAGACACAGACACAGCAGGCTAAGCCAAGACTCATGTGTCTACTCCCTTCTCAAACCACTTCCTCGTGTGTACAGGAAGGTTTCTAAAAGTCATTGTGGCTGCCAGCAGTTGTACAGGAAGGCTCTGCTCAGAGGCCAGAAGTGTCCTGTGCATGCAGAGTGATTTTTTTTTTCTTAAAATATTTTTAAAACAAATTACTTTGAATTTAAACAGCTAAAACAGTGATTCTCAGCCACAGCACTATGAGATCCTTTTAAGGGTGTCATGGGGTGCTGCACCATATTAGCAGTATTAGGTGTGCAAATACCTACACGAGTCATAAAAAAAAAAAACAATCCCAGAGATTTTAAATAGGACAAGTGAAAACTAAGAGCTGGCATTTTATCAGGGGTGCAGGAATCTAACCACAAGTGCCTTGAGGCTAACAAGGTTGAGAACTGATGAACTAGAAAAATCTCTCACAACAAATATTTGTGTTTACTCTACGTGTAAAGACAGTAACCACCGGGGATCCAGGTGTTTTGTTCACCACGGGAAAATGCAGTAAAACCTGGGTTTTCTCCTTTAAAGAAGAAAAACACAGGAAATGGTGAGTTTTCCCTTGCAGGCTGGCAGAGTTCCAGCCTACAAGGGGCTGGAGGGAGTTGGAGGAGGGCGGTCAGGCGAGGGGCATCGTGTGTGGTGGGAGGGAGTTGGGCAGGGCTAGGGCTGGGGCTGCTGCCTAGCCCAGGCAGTGCGTGGGGCCACGTGCAGCCGCAGGGCCCTGGCGGCGAGTGAGACAAGGCCACGGCTGGGTCGTCCAGGGGGCTGCCTCCCTGGCACTGCACACACTCCAGAGGGGCATGGGGGGAACATGCCCCCCAGATTTGTGCACAGGGTTGGTGTGGGCTGCTTGCTGCGGGCTCAGGGCTCCCTTCCCTGCCGCCCTACCCCCAGGGTCTTCACAGCCCAGTGGGCAGGACCCAGCACAGCAGGGCAGAGTGGGGCAGGGAAGCTAGGTGCTGCCGCCTTGAGCCCTGCACCACCATGGCGAGGTGCCTCCTGCCCTCCCAGCAGCAGCAAGGGTGGCGGCACACAGTTGTGTCCCTTGCTGCTGCTGGGCAGGCAGGGGGCACCTAACCATAGAGGCGTGGCGCTCCCAGCAGCACCATAGGCCTCCCTGCCTGGCTTCACTCTGTCCTGCCACACCGGGTCCTGCCCAATGGGCCACATTAACCGCCGCCTCCCGTGTGTGGCAGCCAGGGCTTGGGCACTGCTGTGGGGGCAGGGGCTGCAGACCTGGGTCCCTGGCCCCATAGCCTTGGTAGCTGAGGGCCCCCTCCAGCAGGGCTGGGAGGGGTGGGGGGCTGTGGGTGGGGAGTGAGGGGCACCAGCAGTGCCAAGGGGCTGTGGATCAGGAGTGAGGGGCACCAGCAGGGCTGGGGGTCAGGAGTGAAGGGCAATGGCATAGGCAGGGCACCAGCATTTCAGGGCTGCTCAGCACCACAAAGCTGTAGCAGGGTACAGCCACAGCTGGACCTGCATCCTGGTGAGCAAAGGGGGTAGGGGAAGCTCTGATTTTTCCATGATAAAAATCCCCAAATCAAATGCCAAAATATATAGGTATTTAGAATTTCTTTTATTATAATGATTGAGGCACTGGTAGGGTTCCAACATGCTTTAAGATTGTAAATATATCAATAAAACATTGTGTTCAACTGATATATAGTGGTGTTTCATTTAAATAACAGATTTGGGGTATTTTAATCAGAAAATGTGCAGTTTTTTATCAGAGAATTTACAATTTTTAAACAGAGAAAACCAGGATCCCTGGTAACCACAGATGCATTCTTTGTCATGTAATAATGTACAGTGTTTAGAGTTATACAAGACTAGACCATTGTTATCTGGTATCCAATTTAATAGCTCTTGAACTTTGTTTGATTATGGCCCAGTTTAAGAAATCACGCCTTTAAATGCAAGCAGGTGCTTAAAACTTAAGCCCAGACTTTCATGAATACTATTGATTTTATGCATGTGTAAGTGTTTTCCTAAATAAGTACCTGTACACCATGCTTGTGGCTGCTTAGTTATGTATTTGCTAGGCTTAAATGTATAAGATAGTTATTACCCTTTCTCTTTCAGGCTTCAGTAGGATGTGTCCTAGAGATCAGATCCTGCCTCAGTCATTATTGTTCATTAAGGATTTCATCGGATGACAAAACACTGGTAGGAACCTAATGATATTCCCATAATTTCAGAATAGACTATTAAATGTAGGATCAGAAGGAAAAAATGTAGCACTGGGTGAAAGCAATTTGCAGTGGTAATTGTGGGAAGATTTTAAAGTTAGAATTTAACCAATAATCTTTAGACCCACTCTGAAGTGCTTTGGGTTAGGGTACAAGGCAGTCGGGGGTA